AGGTCCGATGCTTCACTACCTAATATTTGGGCTAAAATAAGCTTCTTCTAAATGTAATGGTATATCCAACCGTAAACCGGCATAAAAATGCAGGCTAATCAAAGCCGATAATAGATAAGAATTGGCACAAAAGTAAGGACCGAGCGAAAAAATTTAGCCAATGTGATTATAACTAATATGACACATTATATCATAGCATATGTGATATTACATAAGATGAGCGCTAAAACAAAGTAAACCAGTGTCGTTTTTGTAGAACAAGTAGAACCGAATAATCTTTTAATATTTAAAAGCAGTAAAAATGGAAATGCAACGTGGCTTTGCAGCAGAAATAATGACCATATTGGAACATAAGGTGCCAGTTGTGTTCATTCTAGGCCTGTGAAAAGAACTAAATAAGTGGAAGATAGAAGTGTAGTCTGAATAAGCAGCAATATTTTATTCCCAGCATAGATAGTCTTATTATTTATTATTATTATTATTAATATTATTTATTATAAGCATTATAAAAATAAGATTTAGAGGTAAGGGCAAGTTGCCAAGCTTAGTAAAAAGCTTATTTACTTGTCCTCGTGGAACCTAGAGAAGAGTGGTATCTTGGTTAGCTCAATTGAGGCCAAAAGACGGTGTGCATCATCGTCGAAATCCCAGACACGAAAGTGGCCAGCAATAAGCGTAGACTTGGTTGCAAAGTCCGGGTTAGATTTGTGTGAAGAACTTTCAGTGACGCCGCTTTTTTCCAAACAATTCGTTCCAACGCTGTAAAGAAGCCGGCATACATTATTGACAGAGACGCTGCAAACGCTGCCTGAGTGAGCTAAGAAATGCAAGGTGTGACTTAGCGACTTAATAGAAATGTCTAATTATGAAAATTACTTTAATGAATAATTTATTAAACCACTAATTTTTACACTATAGTTTTTCAAATATGCAATATTTTAGGTGGCTGACCAACCTTTAGGGTCACCAAAGTTGCCATATTCGAGGCCAGATTGAATATTGAACTTGAAAATTTCGCCGCTCGAGTAACCGATAACCAAGAAGTTACCACATAACGTCATGAAGAGGCACTGGATAAAAAAATAAATTAAGGCACTGTAAAAAAAGAGTTAGCCATTCATCGGTATAAAATATGGGACTGAAATTTTATTCGTTGAATTAATCAAGAAAAAAACAATAATAATTTCGAATAGTAGTCAAGTCTGATCATTAGGGCACATTTGTAACAAGCTATACTTCATGAAAAGATTTAATCATGTAAAGAAAAAGTGGTTTTTGAAGAATACTTTTTATTTAGTCTGTAGACGAGAATGGATAGAAATTTTTAAAATACGAGATACAGGAAGCCCAAGGAGGAATGTCTTGGAGATGTGTGTAGATTTGTGCGAATAAGTCCTCAGCTCGCTGTACTGCGACAGGCCGGCTAATACAAGAAACAATACTAGCTCCTAAATTGATGGTCAGGTAATGAATGACTACTTTTTGGCAGTCAACAAAACAAAGAAAGCGTGGAACACTTCCTAAAGTCAATGATGAGAATGCATGGAGGGACCAAGGAATTATAAAAAGATGGTAGTTTACCTAATCTAGATGCCATGGTTAATAAAAGACAAATCAAATTATGTAGACGTAAATAGGAAAACGACTAATGAGGGTTTGATTAGGAATTTCTTTTAAAACCATACTTATAGAGTAAGCCATGGTAATAAGAAGC